ACTCATTGCTTCACTTTATATGAATCAATCTGCCATTATCCGAACAAAAACTGGAGAAAGCAAACCATGCAGTATTGGAAAAGGAGTCAGGCAAGGGTGTACACTTTCACCTACTCTTTTTAACATTTATCTTGAGGAATTAATGAATGAAGCCATAAGTGAGGACAGCCTCGGAATTAAAATTGGAGGCCAATTAATACAAAGTATTAGGTTTGCAGATGATATTGCTTTACTTGCACCAAATGAACAAACTCTACAATGTTTGGTAACAAAACTCAACAAAACTTGCAAAAAATTTGGAATGAAAATTAACATAGCTAAAACAAAAGTGATGAAAGTTGGAAGGCTAATTAGCAAAGATTTGAAAATCCTAATTGATGGAAACAAAATAGAGCAAGTTCAACATTTTAGGTATCTTGGCAGCATTATTCAGGGAGATGGCAGATGTGAAAAAGAAATCAAAGAACGAATCAGGGCTGGAAAAATGGCTTTTTATAAGAAGAACCTTCTTATTGGAAAAATGAACCAAACACTTAAAAAGAAGTTAATAAAATGCTTTTCCTGGATCATAACTTTATATGAAGCAGAGACTTGGACCTAAAGGAAACAAACTACCTTGAAGCATATGAAATGTGGTTATGGCGAAGAATGGAGAAAATCAAGTGGACAGAAAAGGTTAAGAATGAAGAGGTTTTAAATTTGGTCCAGGAACAGAGATCTCTCTTAAAAACAATACAAAAAAGAAAAAATAACTGGCTAGGTCATATATTGCGAGGAGAAGGATTAATGCGAGTGACATTAGAAGGAAAAATTGATGCAATGAAACAAAGAGAAAGAAAAAGAAAAGTATTGATAGATGATGTTTTACTAGGCAAAACTTATAAAGAAATAAAAGAGGAAGCCCGAAATAGAGAATATTGGAGAAGGAGAATTCTATAATTTGACTGCTTTCCACGGACCTGTCCTAGGACAACACCCATGAATGAATGTTATCACTAACTAGATACACAACAAATATAAAGAATCTTCGTAGAATAATAAGTTTAAGGGAAAAAATTTTATTTTTAAAATGTTACATTTACAAAATCAGAAATTATTAAATTACGTAATTATTAATTAAAGTAAATACCCTCAAAGAAACCTTTACATATGCAGCTGTAATTTAATAGATAAATTCAAACGTTTTCGACCATATTCAATGGTCTTTATCAAGAAAAAACTGAACAATCGAACTTCGAACTTAAAATTTGCGTTACCGATACAAGCGTTATTTTTGGAACGTTTACAGCCAATATGTAGAGATGGCGCTTATACGATAGAAAATCTTTTTAAAAACATTCCAAAAATAACGCTTGTATCGGTAACGCAAATTTTAAGTTCGAAGTTCGATTTGTTCAGTTTTTTCTTGATAAAGACCATTGAATATGGTCGAAAACGTTTGAATTTATCTATTAAATTACGGCTGCATATGTAAAGGTTGGTTTGAGGGTATTTAGTTAATAAATGCAGTCTCTGACAAGTTATTAATTAAAGTACGTACAACATATACACATAATTCATTTGTCATTCAGTTTTCATTCATCTACAAAATCAGCCATTATATTTGGAAGTACAAGCAGTGGAAATGTCAATCAAACTTGCTTGGTAGCTGCTTCCTGCACACGCATGTAGAATTGTCATCTAGTGGTCGCTGCATGCTAAATGCAGTTACTCCAAACGCACACATTTGCTTGAACCAGTTTGTTCGCACTTCTTGGAAGTGCATTCACGCTCGTGGTTGCTGGACGCTGCCATGTAGGACGTACCCTAAGAAGTTTCTTTATTGCCTTGCGGTTTAGTCAAAAAGTTTTGACTAAAACTTCTGTATATGCACTTATTGAAATTTTAAAAGTACATTTTTATTCTTAACCAATATGTGGCTGATAGCATTACCATTGATTGTCATTGCCTCGACTAGTGTTTTAATGTTAAAACATGAATTGTTTTAATTATTATTTGTTTGCAGTATAATAGCTTAAATTTAATGGTCTATCTTCAATTAATAAACAAAAAGATGAAACCAATCTCCAGCAAGATTTGACAAGAAAGTAAATTTTCAACTGTTTATTAATGTATACCCAGTTTGGAGTAGTTTAATTTCTTCAATTATATGAGGGGTGTTCAAAAAGTATCAGACCTTTATTTTTCCCGCATAAACCAATGACATGCCAAAGGCCTCCTTCGGGGGAGATGTGGAGGGGACAGTCATGCGCAGTCCTGAATTTTTTCCCGCCTGCAGGAAGTGTCAGTCGCTGGCAGTCTGCCTATGAGTGAAGACATGTAGTGAGTGCTTGTCGGATTCCACTAAGTTGTAAAATGACTGAACAATGTGCTCAGCGATATTGCATAAAATTTTGCCAAAAGCTTGGTGATATCCAAGCAAAAACCATTTGCAAGATTCAACAGGCTTTCTTGAACGATGCTGAGCAACACATGGAAAAAGGAATGGTACATCTGCTTCAAAGATGGCCGCACATCAGTGGACAGCGAACCGCGTTCAGGCAGACCCCCAACAAGCCGAAATGACACTGTCATTGAGCAAGTGCAGACTTTGGTCATGGTGGACTGTCTTATCACAGTCAGAGAACAGTCATGTAAACGAGACAGGAGTAAGCGTTGGATCAGTACATTTAATTTCGACCGAGTATTTGGGTATGAAGAGTGTCCGCGAAATTCTGCACATCTGATTCAGACTTTCATTGCCAAACACAACATTTCTGTGGTTCGTCACGCTCTGTACTCTCCCGACATGGCTTTGTGTGACTTTTGGCTATTTCCCAAGCTGAAAATGCCACTAAAAGGAACCCGATTTGAGTCAAGAGAAGACGTCGTGTGGAATGCGATGGACTGGCTGATGGTCATTCCAAAAGATGTGTTTCAGCAGTGTTTCCAGCAATGGTAGGAGCGCTGGGAGAAGTGTATACATTACCAAGGAGACTATTTTGAAGGGGATTAGGGTTTTGTACCTCAAAATGAATAAATGTATTTTTGCCGACCAAAGGTTCAATACTTTTTGAACACCCCTTGTATGCTAGGTGGTTAGACCATGATGCAAAAATTAGCATGCAGACAACACTGGATGAATTTATCAATAATAATTATAAATCTCTCATCTTCCATGTCTTCAATTGCTTTATTTAGTTGACCAGAAAGTTTTAAAATTGTTTCTTAAAACCCAAGAAATATTTTTATATTTTGTAAACAGTTTTATATTATTCAGTGGTGTATTTGCCATTGTTTTCAACTATCTTTTGCTATTATTATTCTAATTTATGAATCTAACTGTAGCATAAATCTGAATCCTTTTCAATAAAGAAATCTTTAATGTGATTTTTTTTATGTCATTGTTCTGGAAAAGTTTTTTTTCTTGGATAGTTTTGTAGATACTGAAATACATGAAAATCAGTGGGAGCAAGACCAGGTGAATGTGGTGGATGTTCCATTGTTTTCCATTTTGATTTTTGTTGTTTGGCAGCCATCAGGCCCATCAAAATTGATTTTTTTTTTATCTGACTATACTTCATTTTTCCACTGTTCTTTTCAGATCATGTGATTCTGGTCCAAGTCAGTCTGGCAGCCTTATTTTCTCCTTTGTAAGCTTTGGGTTTTGACTTCATTTTGGCATATTTAAGATGATTGGCAGCAAGAACTATTTCAAACTGTCTTTAAGCTTACTCCATGTGCGGACTTTTTTATGAGAAGTTTTTGTGGCCTTGCAGGGTTGTTCTTAACTCCATATTCTTTGCTTAACTTCAAATAATTCATTATCATGCAAATTGATATTCTGTTTTTTAGTTATAGATCTTATTGACTCACCAGCTTCAGTTAAACATTTACTTTTGGCATTTGAAAAGGGTAAAGTATCTTGTTTTAGCATTTTGCCCTTTCCAAATTAACTGCCTTGCTATATAAGTGGACAACAATTTTTTTTTGGTTGCAGTAGCAACAATAAATATTGGTAGTTACAAGACTTGGTTTGATAGATATCCAGTTAACAAATTTAAAAAGTAAGTTAAAAATATGTACATGAATTAAAGTTTTGAGTGTTCTTATCATTACTCAACAGTAAAAAAAGAATTTTCTTATGAGTAATTAGCTGCTAATTTATTTAGAATTATAACTGTTATTATTTATTTCTTTCACACTTGTATACTAACATTCACAGTAATAGCTTTTGTAACTTTGAGTTATTCACAAAATGTTTGATGTGCTTATCTTTATTGAATACACTGTATGTAACACATTGTTACCAGCCAGTTTCTAAAACTATATAACAATGTCCCTGGCATAAAATATTTTTTTAAATACACTGTATTTTGTTTGTTTATTTTATAATAAGAAAAGAACATTTAATAACTGAGTGAAAATAGAATGTTAATTTTAATGCACATGGGAATTGAAGAGGTTAATTAATTAATTTAAATGAATTTTAAGAAACAGCATTTTAATTAGTCAAACAGCACTTTATATTTCAAGGCTTGTGGGATTTTTTTTAAACAAAATTATAAATATTGTTGAATGTTGTGATTGAGTTCATAAGTTTTGAGCACTTCAGTTGTAAAGGGATGGTAAATCTGGACTAGAACACAACAGTCAAGATCTTGATTCCTATATCATTGGACCAGAACAAATCACAACGTATTAATCAAAATGGAAGACACTGAATTGCATTAAGTATAAAAACTGTAATTATTTCAAATATTTTAGCTGTAATTCATAAATATGGCCATTAAATGTGTTTGATAATTAGGAAATATACAAATAAGGAATGTTTTTCAATTTTTATCACTTCTCCCATTATAAGGTAATAAATTTTAAAAATAAACGCTTTTGGTTTAATCAAGGAAATTTTGTAAATTATGAAATGCTTAATTAAAAATAGCTAAATAGATTAGTAAACATGTGGACTTTTTATTCATCCACCGGTTGTGTACACAAGGGCATTCATTATTCTTGACATTAAACATCTAGCATCTCTAGAAGACAAAACTTGTTATAAGACAACACTTTGTTTAAAACTGAAATTTTTGTCATATAATTATTAATGTATATGTGTTGCCCGAATATTTAGTGATATTTTTAATGTACAGTGTGTGATTGGTTAACGAACAGTTAGGATAGTGAACAAATCAGATAACGAACACTTTCGCGAAAGATTTTTATGATCAGACAATGAACACATGTTCGGATAACGAACACTTTACTGAACAAACATAAGAAAAAGCAGTGGAAAATAATGAATACCAATTGATTTTCCCTTGTTTTCAGGTAACAATTCAAAACTTTTTGGAACATGGACGTCAACATTGACGCTCAACCCGATACCAATCAGATATAGTATCCCTCTGAATTTTGAAACTCTCCCATGTAATTCGAGCTTTTTGTTTACATTTCTGACAAATAATTTTTTATAGTCTTTGCGAGATTGTTGGATGGGTATTTAAGTCTTGCGTCGGGGTTTATTTACGAAAGGTGAAAGTTTAACTGTCCCATTGGATATTTGTTAACATTTTAATACCAAATTTCGAATTTCATCAGGGCCTTGCATTTAAATAATTTTTTGTGGGCTAGTTGATTTCTGTTCTCTAAATTTTTGTAAGTGTTTTCTGAACTTTTTATTTAAAAAGAAGACTGATAATAATATGGAGTTTAAAAAGAGGAGTGTCAAGAACTGTGCTCGCCATAGAAACCCAGTAAGAGAATAGCCAAGGTTGAAAGTGGGCACATGATGTTTGTTGCTAGGCAGTATGACTTGAGCAGATCTACAGTAGTCACAATCTTATCTATGAAAGATATATCAAGAAGTCTCAAGCTGCTAATGGAGTAATAAAAATTACATCTGAAAAATAAAGAGCATTTTAGAGCTCATAATGGAACCTGAAACTGATCTGATGACAGACGAACTCCAGAGATGTCAGAACAATNCCTCATTTTTGTAACAATAAATAAATAACTAAAATTATAATGAATTTATTCAATTATAGAAATTAATATATGAAAAAAGTTTGGATAGTTGCTTAATTAATAATGAATTATCATTATCTTTAGAAATAACATAGAAGGACTAAAAAATTATCTAAGACAGACTTGAAATGTTCTTGGAACAGATTAAAAGAAAAATGAAGAATGTAAAAGAATATGCCTAGAAAGCAAAGTAAATAAAATATTATGGAAGAATGAAAGGAACAAAAGAATTACAGGCAGTATATGCTATAATTTTTATACATATCATTTCAATTTTAATCCAAATTGGAATGAAAAATTTTTTAAATGCAATATTTTTGGGGGAAATGAAAATACGACATATGGCCTCTTGCATGAAAATGATGCAAGAGAAGTATACTCTTCACATTCTGACAAGAGAATTGTAGAATTTGGCCTGATTATTTCACCAGCTTTGCCATGGTTAGGATATACTCCTGATGGAATAATAATAAAACAAAATATTCCAACTTCTCTTTTAGAAATAAAGTGTCCAGTAAAGGGAAGGAATGAACCTATCCAAGCCTTAATTCAAAAGAATGCATTGAAATTTATTATCATTAATGGTGAAAATATTGAATTAAGAAAGAGACATAAATATTATGGTCAGGTTCAGCTAGGGTTACTAATAACTAATTTGGCAGTGTGTGATTTTGTGATATATTCATCATTTGANTGTCTATGCTTTTTATGTGTTGTCATGTCTGTGTGTTGTGAGTGTAAGTTTAATGGTGTGCTGTTTGAGTCTGCTAGAGTTACTGCTTTATGTAATTGTGATGTTTCTTGTTTCTGTAGAAAAACTCTCGCAGTGACTGTATTTGTTTGTAGTGAAGGTTAACTTATTATTATTTTTTAAATGGAGATAAAATTAAATTTCTATACTGACCCACCTAATGTTCCCTAATAATTTTCATTAATTTTTTGTTGTTATTTTTATTTTAGAACAATAATAATCTTTGACATGTCAAAGGATCAGCCACAGGGTGGTGGTAGAGCAGTTGGCCGTGCAAGAGGACGTGCCAAGAGACAGCAGCCTCAAGAACAGGCACAGGTGCGTAGACCTGGAGACGAGAGAAGACCCGAGCCTCCGAGTATGCAGCAGCAGCAGCAGGTATATTCAATATATAACTTTTGATTTAATTTAATGATTATTTTTAATGGTTTTCTGGTTTAACAGAACTAGCTCTTGATCCTATTTTAAGCTTTTAATAATCTGAAATAAAATTATATTTATGTACTTGTGAGCAATATGCTAGCCTTCTTTATTGCTAGACTTATTACACCATCACTGGACACAAGATCAGCCTTAGAAAATCACTTTATTACCAATTACAGATCAATGTTACATGTATTTGATTAAATGTGCTGATTTGATGCGTAGATCAGTATATTTAAAACAAACAGTATAGTAATAAAAGACATTGTTAAAATAATAAAACAATTCACTGTACATTTTCAGTGTACAAAATATGATTCATTGTACAATGTATGTACAGAGAAACTTACTTTTACTGATTAGAAAAACTTTCAAGTTTTAATAAGATTTGTAAAATTTCAGAAATGTTTATTCCTTAAACAATAAAGTTTTATCATTTAAAAGTAGTATTGAAAAATGTATTACTCAGAAAATTATTTTAGTATTGTGTCTTACATGCCATAAAATTAATAGGTATAATTTAAGTAGATATTGAATAATTTTTGTTAATTTATATGAGAAATTTAATGCTAGAGCTTTGCTTTTGGACAATATTTTAACAACAAACATTTGAATGTTAAGCTGAAAAATGAAATTTTCAGGATAATTTTATAAGGTCTCCCATGCATATAATGCATTCGTACACTTAAGTTTCATCAAAATTATATTTACACATTTACATGAAGTTGTGCAAAATTTCAACTAATATTTAACATTAGTTTGTGTGAATTCAGATTTATGTTGAAATGATATAATTACAGTCTGTAATTAAAGTACTAAGACCATATTTGTAAATACTATTGTTTAAAATTACTAATAAATAATTAAAGAGTAGGTGGTCTTACAATAATATTGACTTTTGTATTTGAATTAATATTTTCTGAGCAGCCAGGACCAGAATCAATTCAAGCAGCTAGATCAGTTCCTGGTGGTAGTGGTAGAGCCATTCAACGTGGAGGAGTTAGGTCTGAACAAAGACCCGGAGATGTGGAGGCATTAACAAGAGCTGTTGCTTCAGCACAAATAAGTGGTGAGAGTGCCGGGAGAGGTACAAGACGTGGAAGACAAGAAATATATGAGCCGGTTACACGGCCAGAACATGTTGCAGACAAGAGAGGTAGTTTACTATTTATTAGCATAATTTGATTTCATTCTATCTCCTCAGCATTAATGCTTTTTGTCCTAGAAATTATTGTTGTCATCTGTTCATTTTAACTTTGTCAAAGACTTTTTCTGAGGCATTTATATTATTTTTTAAATAAATAATAATGTAATTCATTAATTGAGTGTTTCTAAAATTTTGTGTGATAAATGAAGATATTAATAATTTTAATGATTTTTAGCACTAAATCTTAAAATACTTTGTGTTGTTTTTAGGTAAAAGTGGAAGTAAAATTGAAGTGTACTCAAATTACTTCNTGTCCAGTTAATATTCAGTAAAAATTTTGAAAATAACAATAATGAATAACAAGTATATTAATTCATATTTACAACTGTCTTGAAGACACATTTAACTAAACATATATAATAAAAAATATATATTCTACCAATTGGAACATAAAAACTATTTAAAAAGCTATATTATTTTAATTAAAAACACTAATATAAAGTTTTGTTTATATCTGCATATTATAAATAGAGCATTAGTTAACATTTACAATGATTATATAAAAAAAATTAATAAAATTACAGTAAAAACCCCTACTTTGTTGACCACCAATAGTTTTCAAGCAAAAATAGTCTTTATGAGAGAAGGTCACTTTGGAAAAGTTTTTTGTTAGATCAAATAAAACACCATACTTTAATGATACTATATTTTAATTTATTTTATTATTGCGAATGGAAAAACTCATAAATTTTTGCTCAGTTTAAGCATGACATTTTTTATTATACAATTACCTTTTGAAATTCCTCCTCTACTTTGCACAAAAGAGGTGACTTGGTGCTCCATTCCAGACAAAAGTGGTCTTAAGAGGTGTGTTCATTTTGTAGATCTTTTAGAAGTTTTACTGTTTAATATTTAAGATCCAAGCATTAGCTAACTGCTATTTATTGTATTCAGCACATAAACAAACCTTATTTATTTTTCATATATTTTATACAAAGAATTTAATTATTATAGCAGTCAAACAACTCATAAATTTGTCAATTTTGTTTATATTATGAATAAGAAAACAATTGGATGAAATGATCTTTTTATTTTTGAATTTGTGTTGAATTCAAACTTATTATAATATATAATTGACAATTTAATATTTTTTTTCAGTCAACTAAACAAATGGCTGCCGAACATAATGGAAAGGTTATTTGTCCTAGAACAAAAGAAGTATTTGATATTAAAGAAGCTGAGAAAGTATTCGTAATGTAAATAAAAATGGTCAGAGTGTAGTTATAATTGTGACAACGTGAACTTTACACATGTTCAACTCACTTTTCTATCAGGAATAATCTAGTAAAATATATATATATTGAATAATATAAAAACGAAAAAATTTTATTTTAGAAGTTCGTTTTAATATTAAAATTGTGACGCAAAGCGACATCTAGTATTAAAAACGTTCCGATGTAAACACAGAAATATTTGGGATTGCCCACGCAGGTCAATGAGGTCAACATGAATATTTTCGGGATCAACGTAGGACAGGTTAAAAACCTAGCAAAAGATTTAGGCAGAGGCAGACTTTGAATTAGATCTAGACTTATGACATATTATGTAAATCTTGTATCATTTCGTTCTCTTTATCTACTTTATGTTCGTATTCAAACAGTAATAAATGAATTTAATATTGATCAAAAGTTTGATTTTTTTTTCCTTCCTAAGTTAATATTTTACCTCTAAATTACAATATTTTTGAATGTTGTTTGAGATAAAATTACATACTCTATCTTTATAAACCACATAGAAACAAATTTTATGAAAAATTTAATTTTAAGTATAAAAGTTTGTAATTTAAGAAAATTATAAATTTTAATAACTAGTTTTTTTTTTTTTTTTTGGACAAAACTAAGGAAAGGTTTGTTGTTCACCTATTTTGATTTTTACAGAATAACAGTAGATTCCCTTTTTTCTGGTCTTGCTATAGTCGGCAGTGTTTTTGTTGATAATTTTTAATTCTTATTATTGTTGTTTCAGCCATTTATTATCGTTAATACATAATCTATTAAAAATGTTGAATGAGTTTCCAGGCAATCTGAATCATGTCATTTTCTTGAGTATTGTATTAGAGCAAAAGTATGACAAATTGGAATTAAAAGTTGTTGATGGATAATGGTTTCATAAAACATTGTACTTTTTGTAAAGTTGAAGAAATTTACTTACCTTTCCATTTCTCGACTAATTATTACTCTTATTACTTATGTGTGTTGTTGTGATGGTAATAACAATACAAGTTCACTTTTCAAAATCAAAACGAGGCTGTCTTCGACTAGCATTAAACGAGAATAGTTCACATTATTCAAGTTGTTATTCAAAACAAGTAAAAAGTTGAAAAAACCTCAGCTGCATTTGAAATTTGAAACCAACTTTGAAAGGGTATTTCAAGTCAAGTAAATAACAGGTTCACATTGGTCAAGTGGTTTCAACTTATTTAATTTCAGGTCACTTGAATTCAAGTAACTTAACTAATGTGAATGAGTCTGAAGTGTTCTCAAACTGGTATATCACGAAGCTAGGATGATACATGAATTGAATCCATATTGAAAGAACAACAAATAATAACACCTTAGTGTTTTTGGATTAATTGGCTAGTTGTTTATCTGGTAAATTAGGTGTCTTTTGTGTATAATCTGAGATTATATTTTTCTAAGTTCTATTTTTAAATTTTTTTTCTTAGTAATTTAGAGATTGAAAATGTTATCCTTACTAAAGCACTGCTTATGAAATAATTCTATTGCTGTCTTTATATATATATATTCATTCCTGATAGTCACATTTATTGCTTCAAATATAACATTTTTAAAAATGATTCTGTAAGGAAATTGTTTCTTTTAAACACTCAAGTTTTTCTTGTTTTGATCTTTTTTGATTAAATTTAATTGTAGTTGAATTCAATGGAAGTATTATTAATAGAAAATGGGATTTTTTCCCCCTTCCCTTTCCAGATAACAGAAGTGTATTCAAAAAGGAGAACAGATGATGAAAACATTCAAATTACTATAAAGAGAGTTGCAGAATTGGCCCCAAATCACCCTGAAGTGAATAGACTTTTTAATACACAAATGAGAAGGTAAGTTTGTATGAGAATTCATCAAATTGATGACATAATTTATATATAGTTCTTAAATTTATCAGAAACATTATAACGTAAGTTTTTGTAGAGAAGAAAGATTATTTATAAAATGTTTATGCTTTTAATATAATATATTTGAATGTTCCTACAAGGTAGTTTATATCTTTAGTTTCAATTGGTTTTGTTGTTGAATTTATTATTTAAACTTTTTTGTGTGAATAGAACTTGGATGATAAATTTTGTTCATCGTTAAGTGTTACATGCTATAGTAGAATTATTAATTTCTGTCTGTACTAGAGATAATAATAGGTTAACATTAGAAAAATGATTTATAGAAATGTTAACAATTTTACCCTTTGACGATGGATATTTTTCAACTGTGTACTCCACATGCTGGTAAATATATTGAATAATATAAAAACGAAAAAAAATTTATTTTAAAAGTTCGTTTAAATATAAAAATTGTGACGCAAAGCGATATCTAGTATAAAAAATGTTTCGATGTAAACACGGAAATATTCGGGATCGCCCACGCAGGTCA